AAAACATTTTTACAAAAATGTGGGGTCCCCCCCTAAAATCCCTTACAAGACCCTTGATCAGAAGAGCAGCAGCCTGGCAGAGTAGGAAGGAGGGGGGTACGAGCGTGCGCCCTCCTGCACCATACCAGACTAGATGCTCTCAAATTGGGGAGGGTGCTTTGCCAGAGGTGGACCCCCTGGCAAAGCACCTTGTCAACATGCCGATGAGGACAAGGGCCTCTTCCCCATGAATGTTATTCACCAAATACAGTAAATAAACACAGCACCATAAAAAAAAAGTATTGGAAAAAGAACACGTAACAGATTTTGACAAATCCTTTACCAAAAAGAAAAACAAAACGTCCATTGATGTCAATCAAGTCTTCCAGCGATGTAGATCTACGCCAAACAGGATTGGCGACTGCTGCCGACTCGCTGGAAGAAAAAATTCCCACTGCCAGGATCGATCACGACAAACACCAGTTGCAAAATGATAGCTCTGCTCCCGATTGTCAACAAAGGGGCGGAGTGAAGCGTGACATCACATGACTTGTTCCGCCCATTTGTTTACATTCCGTGACAGCTCTCTGTCCCCTAATAGAATGTAAACAAATGGGCGTTTTGGGGAGGTTAACATTTAACAATGCAAGTTCATTCCTAATAACACCCTGGGAAAAATACCGTATACCGTATCTATCCGAATTTCGTTAACGAAAAATTCAGATTCATTATTTCTTTCATTTGGAAATTCGGATGCATCTGAATGTCCAAATATGCTGAAACGAATTGCACATTAATCATATGACAGATCTTCCAACCATAATATGTATAATCAATGAGTTACTTCTCTAGACATGGACAATTAATTCCACATTTTTTTCTATTGTGTGCTGCATCGTTCAGCAAGCACATTTGTGTTTCCCATGCAAATATTTCCATTTTATGCAATTTCACCAAGAAACCTAGAAACATGGGTTTTCATTAATTTTCTGTGAGAAGGCATTGATTTCACATATATTTCAAATTGATTTCACATACAGTGTATGCACAAAAGATCAAAATAATATAAAATAAATACATGACTGTTCTACATTCTGCTAAACACTTTTCTCTTTTCCTTGCTACATTCTTTTTACAACCTTCACTTTTGCCGCCTTGTTGCAAAACTCAGGTTTGCAAAGTATTACAACAAGAATGGTACAGAAGCCCGCACGCTAATTAAAGTATATGGGATCCGTATTGATGTCATTGTCCATGGGCAGGTAACTATACGTACAAATGTTTATACTGTATGTTAATATTAGGGATGCACAGATTGTTTTTGAGTACCAGTGCAGATACTTGGCATTGAGAACAACCAGGGTTGCAGGGGTTGCAGCTGGGACCTGGCTCTGGCGCTCCACCACTGTCCTAAAATCATTAGTCTGTATTGTTTTCAAAAAACTGTCACAGGACAATAAACAAAAATGTATCAGTACTCGTACTTGTAAGTACTCGGCAAGTACCAGTACTCGTACTCGCAAAACTGGTATCTGTGCATCCCTTTTTTTTTTATTTATAAAAACAAAATCGTACATTAAAACAGAGATGTACAAATACCGGGAGCTCCGAGTGCTCCTTACAAATGACAGCTGCCTCCTAATTTTTGAATTTTTCTCTAGTGTAGCCTTGGAGCTCAAAAGTATTGGTACATGTACTCGTACTTGTACCGAGTACTGTACTTGGTATCTGTGCAACCCTAGTTAATATCTATAACTTTTCCACTCTATCACAGCTATTTATACAAGATAATATATAGACTTGAAAACTTTAATACTATTATATGCATCATCTGCTTTGTTAGATGATTGCACTTGTTTAAGTTTTATTTGTTCACCTCACTTAACTTAAAGGTAGCAACATACATGCAAAAAAGAGGTCTGAAGGATTCTTGTGCTACCACAGTAAAATTTAACCATGTTTGGACACTGAACAGTTGGATTCGTTGTGACCTTTAGGAAATCGATCCAGTGAAAAAAATGCGTCTCTAGCTTAAACAGAGATAAACTGGCACTGCATGTTTTCCTTGTTCAAAGTTAATCCTGCATGCACTGCACAGTGAATGGAAAACAGATTGCTCAAGAAGCTGAACAATGTCTGTATATCGGTACTTACCATGACCTACATTGGCATTTGTCATTTGTCTGCATATGCAACTTTAGAGCTACCTCTTAGTCTTTGTTGGTCCGAGGCATGGGAATCGTGTTCCTGCCTAAAAAAACAATTTTTTGGGGGTAACAGAAAAATAATGTGCTGATAATCAATTTTTAGAGTTACATAATAATTCATTAAATTAATGTCTAATTCTACTTATTACAAATAATTAAATAACATAATACAAATGTTGTATTTAGCCTATTTTGGTAAATAATTGTGGCAATGGAGATACCTATGCAGTTCCTAACTAAACAGCTAAGAAGAAGGGGTAGACCCCTTAAAGCTCATTCTTAAAAATTAACTCTGGAGACAATAAAAAATACAAAGTAAAAATGTTAACATTTTATATTATGCAGGCTGGAAAGTTTAGTCTCATCCCAACCATCATTAACTTGGCCACTGCACTGACATCTATTGGTGTTGTAAGTATAAACCGTATTTCTAAATATTTAAGTGTTTTGAAGTTTAGTTAGCCAATAAGAAACAGTGGAGCATGCATCAGTAGAATTTAATTTAATTTACTTACTGAGGCCTGTGGAACCCTAAAATGTTACTGTAGGAGTTATATCCCAAACCAGATGCCCCTAGTTACTGGATTACATAAAGAATACATGCTGAAACTTTGGATGAGTATCATGATCAAGAAACTGGCCAAAGAGTGGAGCGATATTTTCATATATGCAAAAAGATAGAGATTTTATCATTTTATTTAAGCACTATAAAGAGAAGGTAAGATTTTTGTACTTATCGTCAAATCATTTTCTTTGAGTCCTTAGGGGGACACAGGAATTGAGAAACAATTAGGTTATACATCCACCTTCAGGAGCTTGGGACACTAGCAGACAGAATGTTGTAAGCCAGCCTCCTGTACCATGTATGATTTAGTTTTGTGAGAAATACACAGAACCAGCAAAAGACACACAGGGGTGGGACCTGTGCCCCTCAATGGACTTGAACAAAAATATTTTACCGTAATTACAAAAATGTTATTTCCTTTATCCTCCATTGAGGGACACAGGAATTCAGAAACAGTCAGAACGTCCAAAAGCAGTACAGCTGAGGGGTGGGCAACAGTCACTGACAGATCCAAGGAGGGAACTGTAATTATTCACAACACAGGACTACCAGAAGGACCAACACCTGAATCTGAACTAGATGTGGTGAAGTCCCCTGCAAACCAGGGGAGTCTGCCAAAGGGAGAGTACAGAGGATCAACCAGATGCTTTAACTCCAGGACAGAAGAAATCCCTGCCAAGGGGAATGACTCCACCCAAAGGAACACTAAGTCCACAACAGGAAAAGGAAATGAACCAGAAAAGCACCAAAACAGATGGAACAACATAACTATCTGATAAGGAAGAAATAGACCAACAGCATAATATGGTCAACAGAAAACAACACTGGGACAAATTCCCAGGAGAACAGGTCCCAAAAGGAACTTTGGACAGAAACAGGTTCAGAAGACTAACGGTCTGCAAGCAAAATGCCCAAGCCATACACTTCCAACCCTTGGTAAATAGGGAAGGAGGGTTCCAGGATAAGAATGAGGTTGCCTGGCCAAACAACCAATCTCACAATAAGATATCCAAGGAAAGTGAGAAGCCTCAGAGTCTAAAATCACATAAGAATAGCTAATAAACCACCGAGACTGGTAGCAAGCCAAGGGTACCAACTATAAAGTCAGCCTGATTAAATAGGGGAGGTAGGGTTCGAGGGCTTCTATGCCTATGCCACAACAAAGACTGGTGCACGTGAACACCATAAGAGCAAGAGCATGAGCAAGACCCATCCACTTCAACAATTGGAGGTGTCTCTGGGGCCTCACAGGGGAACTCTACTGGACCTGCCTAACCTTGACCCAAAACAGGGTTCTAACAGTTATCTGACCTGTCCTGGTCTAGTGAAGCATCCACAGTCATTGAGTGATCGATAGCAACCTTAGCCAAGCAGCTAAGAGTATTTACCTGTTTCAGAACAGAAATCGGAAGGCATCCGCATGAACTTCCTTAAGAAGTTGTGGATTAGCCACAGAAGGAGGGCTTCAAGAGTACTCTATCCCCAACTGGGAGTATCTGTAGTTGGTATACCAGCATGTGCTGTCTGCTGACAATCCAGTGGAACACAGGATCCTCCAGCAATGGTTTTTTCTTGCCTTACAGGAAATGAGGTGCACAAAAGTGTGAGTAAACCTCTCTCTTCGGAGTGGAGACTACCGGTTAATGAGAGCCAGATGGCAAGGCATTGTCTCTAAGGAAGATGGTGCGGTTGAGAGCATCACTCTTGGCGTCATTCAGCGTAGGGGCCAAACTATTCATCCTGTCACAGGAAAAAAGCAGCTCGATAAAAGCAGCTAAGACCATACTCCCATGCACATGGAATTAGCAGACATGTAGTATAAGGGTAAACGAAAACACGGATGATTCAAAAAAGCCTCAGCTAGCAGGCTGCAAGCCCTCCACGGTTTACGCGTTTCAGAGGACACACCTCCTTCCTCAGATTTGGTTCTGAGGAAGGAGGCGTGTCCTCTGAAAAGCATAAACCGTGGAGGGCTTGCAGTCTGCTCGCTGAGGCTTTTTTGAATCATCCGTGTTTTCGTTTACCCTTATACTACATGTCTGCTAATTCCATGTGCTTGTGAGTATGGTCTTAGCTGCTTTTATCGATTAATTAAACTGTTTTACACGATGGAGGCGCTCCTTCTGTTTTTTTGTTTCAGCTAGCCGGTTACCCTGACCAGTGGGAGCTGCCTCGGGAATGTATCACTCTGCACTTAATTTCAGTTGTGGGTGTGGGCGCTTGTGTTTTTTTCCGTTTTGCAGTTTTCTAATCTATACACTTCTGCCAGACAGGTTACAAAAAATAGCATTTTTAGTAAAAACAATGCAGCTTGGTCAAAGTAGTGACAGCAGCTTACTGATTAGGTAGATGCTTTGCTCTCTCCTTTAATCAGAGGCTCCATTTGTTAGCGTTACACCACTGTAGAAGATAATAAAGCCTAACTGGCTTTCAGTTCTGCCCCTACCTTTTCCAGTCTGAATGGTGATGTTCAGGACATTGTAATAGCCTAGTAAAAGGCAGACTGAGGCAATATTTAAAAACACATCTAAAAAATGGAAAATTGTATACTTACTATCGGTAATTTCCCTTTCCTGACGCCAATACATGGCAGCATACAATGGGTATGGCTCCGCCCCCAGCCCAATCACAGGACCATTTATACTATAAATGAAAGCCCACCTCCCAAGGCCACCATTCTCGTAACAAGTACGCAATGTGAAAGCCATGGGAGGGTCCTGTATGCTGCCATGTATTGGCGTCAGGAAAGGAAAATTACCGATAGGTAAGTATACAATTTTCCATTTTCCTGACGCCTACATGGCAGCATACAATAGGATCTAACTAGCACACAACCAGGGAGGGTAATTCTGAGATATTTATTTATTTGTACCACTGGTAAACACATTCAGAATGGTGGCCTTGGGAGGCGGGCTTTAATTTATGGTATAACTGGTCCTGTGATTGGGCTGGGGGCGGAGCCATACCCATTGTGTGTTGCCATGTAGGCATCAGGAAAGTTTATTGAATAGGTAACTGCATTAAATGGTTGCTTTTTATATCTGCCTACACTTACACATTGATATTTATTGTGCATGTCAGCCTCTTATGTTAAGTTTAGAACTGCTCCTTCCATTAGAGTCTTTGTACTATTAATATCCACACGTAGCCTATTCTTGTAGCAGTAATTTCCATTATGACCCCATGCAATGTACTTTAGCTCTCCTATGAACCATGGTATATACTTTGGTAATATACATCGGCATTGATCACCCATATTACGTTTAGGTTATAACCCCCAAGTGAATCAATATTTAGTGAATTTTCATTTACTTGACTTCCATTAGGGGTCTGTCTTCTGTGACTGGATACTGTTGACTTTCATGAATAAAGATCACATATACAGCTTGCGAAAATATGATAAGGTGAGTAGATGACGCTATGCAAGATGGAACCATCCACAGTTGATGGCCTCCCACTAGATTTACATATCATGAAGTAGGCTCTCATTTGCTTATTGTTTAAAGGAGAACTATGAGGTGAGTGCTTTTCACTCACCTCATAGTTCTAGCCGACCTGTGACAATGAGACTGTCACAGGTCGGCTCAGTAGATCGGGAGCGAACACATACCGGCGTTCGCTCACCTCTCAATCCTGTCACGGCTCTCTGCCGGGACAGGGGAGGGGCTGGATTCCCCCCTCCCCAGGGTATGGACCCGCTGATCGCCTATATGTGTGACACCCGGTACCGGGTGTGTGCATTGATCGGGTCTTTTCTGCCCGTGCGTGCCCGCTAGGGGGCGCGCGCGAGCAGAAAAAAATTGCCGTCTGGAGACGGCAACCCGCAGATGCAGCAGTGCCGTCCGTCCGTTTTTCTACTACGGGCGGACGGCAAGAGGTTAATAAATGTCTTAAAGAAGAACTGTAAATGTAAAATGAATCCTTGCAATGAGGCTACTCCTGCACTACAAGGGTTAACTGCTCGTTTTGGTCTACGGGGTAAAATAAAGGGATCCTTAGTCCCGTTTGGCTGCTAAACCGGTCCCCACAGCCTCTTCTCCACTGGGTTCCAGCAGTCTAAGGACCCATGATGTCTAAAACAGCTGCATGAGACTTGAAAACACAGAGAGACATTCCACATCCAGAGCGGAAGGAGAGAGAAGTGAGCATTCACCGCCACAGGACCAAGGATCAGGTGATCAGGCCCCTAAACCACAATGAGGAGTTAACCCTTGCAGTGTGGGGGTAGCCCAACTGCAAGGTTTAATTGTTACATTTGCTGGAGTTCTTCTTTAGGGAGTGACTGTATGATTATTAGCAGTAATATCAATCATCAACTTTTAAACAGCAGCATATTGTGTTTTACAATCTGGTAAAAGCATACCATAAACTCAAACAATAAATTATCAAATGATGTAAGGGAAACATTAAAGTGAGTAGGCTAGTGATAACAGGGAAATGTATATTTATTTATTGTTTATAAAAATGTAAAATGTTTTTCATCGTTTTAGTCAGGTAAATATTAAATGCAGCATACAAATATTTTCTGAAAAAGCCTGTCATTTACAAAGTTCAACAGTTGAAGCTTAGACTTACACACATAACAACATAGGTCACAGAATTGAATCATGCCCCCCTCTCTGCCTGCTCACATATTTTCAATAAGAGAGAGAGATTCTGACGTAAAACACCTTTTTACTGTGCTTTGTCTTTAGAAAAACCAAAATGCTCAGTTTTTCCTTTGTCATGGGTGCACTTTGCTGGAATGATTTTTAGGACATATAAGAAAAAAAAATTTTCAAGCTTTTTACTATTATAGGAACGTGTGGAACAACATATTTGGATTAGGTGTTTGGGTTTAAATACACTTTCCGGAGATCTACGAAATAAGCCCTAATGTATAACTCCACTACTATAGCCAGCAGCAGAGCGACTAAAACGTGACCTAGGCATATAAAGTACAGCAAGCCACTGTTCATTAAGACTCAACTTTTAAAAGCCCATAATAACAATAATCTTTTTGCTTTGGCACCATAAGGCTCCATTCACATTAGCTCGTACAAATACGCACGGAACCGCTCTAAACATAAAAAAAATGCACTTTAATGTGCATTGTTTAGACTGTTGTGGCGGCCGCGAAGTACAAAACCGCGTGTCCCGCAAAATAGTACAAGCATGATTTTATGGCGGATTCTGCACGTACCAGCTATGGTAATAGCTGCAAACGTACGGAATCCATGCATATGTGAAAGTTTGCGCAGTTTTCCATGCGAAAAACCGTGCAGAAGACGCTACACCTATGTGTGAATGGAGCCTAATATAGGATTTTTCTTTTTTTTTTACTGTGAACTAACCATGCACTCTGGATCAGACCATACATAATGGCATGCACTGCAACCTTTTTGGCAATTGCCAGAACTTCTGGATTTTCAGTCCGAGCTTGCTGCTGTAAAAATATATTATTTATTGCCTGTCCACCTGTTACTTGCTTTTGAAGCATTCTTCATGCTGAATTGGAACTTTTTAGGTTATAGTTATCTACAACTATCGCTAATGCAAACCCAGCATTCACATTTTCACTATACTGCAGGTATGGAAATTGGAGGAGACCCATACAGCAACAGTTACCACAGCCAGCTCTCCGCAAGACTCACCAGCTACTTCTGAATCTCTCTGTACCAATCATGACCCTCCATACAAAGACAGCCGCCCAAGAACTGAAAGCAACTCTCTGGAAATCAGACGACAGCAGGCGTGGAGTGAGAGGACAGAGTCCACTCCTGGGAGCTGATATTTCATACAATGTCCCCCTGTTGCCTCTGGGACTGTAGGCCAAAATGTTTTACTGGAAAACATTTACATGAAACTCAGGAAAATGCAAGCATTTTGGAAAAAGACCAGAGCTATGTATAGTCCATCAAAAGGCCAAAGAGGCCTTAGGTGGAAGAGGGAGGCATACTGAAGGTGAGAAAAGTGAAATATTTTACTAGGATTGGGGGCTGGATATAAGAATGACCGAGCACTGAAACCAGTGAGCATGGATACTGCAAAACTCTGGGCTGAGAGACAATAGTAAGAGTGCACAGATGCTTAACAGTAGACCACCAGCATTAATGAAAGGAGAGACCGTTCATACATCTATTTTCCAAACAATTCTCTTCTAACTTCACACCGATAGCCTAATATACACTACGGCAAATTAAAAATATAACATATAGAAAGAGTCTGACCCATCCTTAGCAACTTGATATTCCAACTACAGGGTAAAACAATTAAAGCAAGCATCTGAGTCATTGATTTGTGATGACATGGAATTGTCATCACAAACACCCCCCCCCCCCCCCCCCATCTTTTCTTTTTCTTTTTGTTTTTTTTTTT